CTAAATTGTCGTATTCAATGTGATGAAAATTGTTTAATATATATACATTAAAAAAAAAAAAAAATGGAAATTGTTCATCTTCTTCAGTTGTATTCTTCACTCACAAATTCACAACCAGCCAATTTCACCTGCCCCATCAAATCCAACCCCTGAAATTCCTGCAAAAATGAAGCAAAAAACATGGCCATTTCGATCCGACGGTTCTCCATTCACCGCTCTTCCCCTAGCAAAAAACCACCCTATCTCCAAACAATTTTCAGCAAACCACCATTTCTCCAAATCCCACTCTCTCGACCGTCCGATCAAGGCCCGAATCACCTCCTCACCGTCCGATCATCACCACCGTGACTTCTCATCCCTTCCGTACGATCTTCTCAATAAGATAGCATCTGGGTTTTCTCACCGAGACTTAAACGCAGCGTCTTTGGTGTGTAAGTCATGGAACGACGGGTTGAAGCCGTTGAGGGAAGCGATGTTGTTGTTGAGATGGGGAAGCGGTTTAAACATGGGCGGGCCGGAGTTCGGGTCGACATGGAAAAGGCGTTGGAGTCTTTCTTGAAAGGGGTGGCCCGTGGGTCGAGTCTTGCTATGGTGGATGCGGGTTTGGTTTATTGGGAAATGGGTCGAAAACAAGATGGGATTGCTTTATATAAAAGAGTTGCTGAGCTTGGTGATCCTTCTGGTCAGTGTAATTTGGCTATTGCTTACTTACAAGGTGATTAACTCCCTAATTTCTATCAGTTTTGTTGTTTTAGTTTCTTAATTTGCATTGTTTTGTTTGTTTTGCTGTACTAGAGTGAGTCGCGAAGTGTAATGATGTAGACGGGATTCGATCTCGGGTCTTAGGTACTACCCCAACACCCAATTCTTAAACAATTAAGCTAGTTGATATTCATGTTTCTAAAATAGGATGGTTTAAGTGTGAGAAAGGGGTAGAATGTAAATTGCTTTGAAACAAATGGTGGTTTTGTGGAGCTGTGATAAGTGAGTGCAGAAATGCATTGGTGTAGGAGTTACATTGTGCAAAAGTAACAAAACTACATAAGAGTATTGATGGTAGGGTGGTAAAAGATTGGTTACTGGAGTTATATGGGAGGAAAGTGTCTTTATTTCTAATGTTTTATGTTTTACAAGGTTAACAAAATTGTGGGGTTCATTGCCTAAGATAAGGAGAATCAAGGTTTGGGTTTTGGATGTGATTACATAAATTAAGCTTATTGTGTGGATAGGTTGTCATAAGGGTCTCTTTACAAAGGAGGGGTTGAGCTAAAGCTTAGGGAGTTAGTTGTTGTAGAGGAAGTTTGGAGCTTCAGTGGTTGAGTTTGGATACAAAACATGATCTAGGGGAGGCAAGGGATTGGATTTGGATGGGTATCTGTTTGGAGGAGCTTGGCGTTGTGGTTTTTAGCCACTTCTAGGGTAATTTGGGGGCTTGGAACTGTTAAATATTCAAAAGGTTAGTGTGTGCCCCGTAGCAAACAGTTGTCTATGGTAATAAGTCTAATAAGCTGGAACTGTGAGAGAAAGGGAGACTATGTTAAGCTGAGTCATTACCCTGTCCAATTTGTTTATTTTATTATATTTCATATTATACAATTTTAGTTTAATTCTGGTGTATAGAGAGCCACAAAAGGTATTAATGTAGACATGATTCAATATCTGGTCCTAGATGCCATCCCAAGCCGTTTAAAACAACTAAGCTAGGTGATCTTCACATTTTCAAATTAGGAAAGTGGAAGTGTGAGAAAGGAGTGAAATTTAGTGGTTTTTGGAGCTTTGACAGGTGAAGATATAGAATGCATCTGGTGTAGGGTTTATTTGTTACAAAATTTCAAGTTTGGTATTAAATGGAGGATTGTAAGAATGGTTGTTGGGTTTAAATGTGAGGAATGTTCCTTAATTTTGTGTATTTCAGTGTTTCCTGATAACAGTACTATGGGGTATTTTGGTTATGATAAGGAGAAGCTAGATTTGGCTTTTGGATTTGATTCTAAGAATTAATCTTTTTGTGTGTTAGTTTGTCATTATTCACTCCTTACAAAGGAGAGGTTTTCGGTTGTGCAAGAGAATTCTAAGCATGAGATGTGAGATGTGTTTGTAGTGTGTGTGGTTTGATGGAGAAGTCGGTAGTTCATGGACTTAGGGAGCTTGGTTTATTAAGGAAGTGTGGAGGGTTAGTTGTGTTAGTTTGAATTGTAAAAATGACTAGGCGAGCAAGAGAATAATTTGAATATCTGTTTAAAGCTTTGAGATGTGGCTGTTAGCTACTTGTCAGGGGAATTTGGGTGCTTATACGTTATATTTACTATTAAATATTTGAAGTGGTGTATGATCTGTTGCAAAGAGTTGTTTATGGTAATAAACATGTGCAGAGCTGTGAGAGAAAGAGGGGCTATGTTGACCATAGGCATTTTCAAGCCCAGGGCCAGAGCTGGAAGTCACGACTGCTTCCTGGCTTTGTAAAGTTTGAAGTTGGTGCAGGCAGATTGGGAGATTGTGGCATGGGAATGAGGGTGATTGTGCGGTCCAAGTATATCATTATTATGTGCAGATTGCAGTGATGTAATGCAAAAGAATTAGAAATTATAGAGGCTGGAGCTAAAGCGGTGCTTTTTAATTTGAAGCTTATAGCGGAGTGTGGATACAATAGTTTTGTGGTTGAAAGTGACTGTAAAAGCATCATTCATTTCAAAGGGAGTAAGAAGTCTCATTTTGTTTCGAAAATATTTTAAGTTGAACTCTTGGTTTAAACTTTAAAGTTATCTTTTGATCTTTTTAGGATAGAGCCATAGAGGGTATAGATTCACCCTTATAATTTTTGAAGCTTGCTGAAGTTTCAGTTGTTTCTAGCTCAGCTTTATTCAGTCTAAAAGTACAGGGCCTTATTGGAGATGCACTTTATTATTTGTTTGCAAATTGTAATGAACTGACTTTGGAAAAGAGGTATTTATGGGTAGTTTAGTATGTTAGTGGTCATCAAATGTATTACATAAGGGAAATCATGCAAGGAACCAATAGATGCCACATGGGCACAAAAAATGAAAAACCATCTAGAATCATCTTAGAAAATATAAATAAATAGGGAGAGGGAAGGAGAAGAGAATTGGCAGAAAGTTGGTGTGAACCTTCGGGAGGGTTATGGCCTAAAGCCATTGTTAGAGAGCTGTGAGCTAAACTCACTGTTGGAGAGTGATAGCCTTAAGCTATTAAACCTATCTTTTGTAATCCTTTCTCCATTATCAATCAAAATATAAAGCTTTCACCTTTATTAATCCTTAGTAATATAATATTTACAATCAGAAAATCAGTTCATAACACAAATGATAAGACCTAGTTACCGCTTACCAGAGATTTGAGTTCTGTGGTTCAATTATGGTCTCATATCTCCAAATAGGATCAAGTGATCAACATACTTTGTCCTCTGGCTTCTGCAATGTAAATTTGTAGTACAAATACTTGCTATGTCATTATCCTCGGGTATTTTGAAATAATTTTCCTGAACAACGAGCAAACTCTTTTTTTTTTTTTTCGTTCAGCTGAGAAAATTTGAAAACCTATTTAAGCTTCTGCTTCTTAACAATGGTGAAAATGTGATACAGTGGTACAAGTGTGGAAAAAATGCTTTTGAATGTTTGAATTGTGCATTAATTGATTTATATGCATGCTTGTGTATATGTAGCTGACTTTGCAAATCCTAAGGAAGCTGTCAAGTGGTTGTTTCAATTTGCCTCTGCTGGACATGTCCGTGCTCAGTACCAACTAGCACTGTGTTTGCATCATGGGCGTGGGATTGAGCGAAATCTGCCAGAAGCTGTACGGATTTATTTTACCGTATTTAAACTTTTGATTTATTACTTCTTGCAGTACAACCGGTGTTAACCTAAAGAAATAGTATTGTGTTGGCAAAACTTCTGAGATGCAGTTCAAGGTTGTTAGTTACAAGACACAACACATGATTGATCTTTATAATTTATTTTGAGTAGGCGAAGTGGTACCTCAGGGCTGCAGAGGGTGGATATGTTCGAGCTATGTACAATGTGTCACTCTGTTATTCAGTTGGTGAAGGGTTTGCCAAAAGTCATCCACAAGCGAAGAAATGGATGAAGCGGGCTGCTGATCATGGTCATAGTAAAGCACAATTTGAGCATGGACTTAATCTTTTCTCGGTATGTAGCATCTCCCTTCGCAAAAACTTGTGTGTTTAATTGTGTTTTTTTTACTTGTACCCATGGGCCTTGGGCTGGGCCACCAATTTAAATTATAACCCCATCTCATTCAGCCGCTGATAACCCCCTGCCTACAATACTCACCCCCACCCCCCCCCCCCAAAAAAAAAGCCAAAAACACACATCAAGGGTGGATGACGAGCGTGCTCCCACATCAACTAACATGATTCTCGTGTGTATTCTTATATCTTATTGCTTAATCTTTAGCCAAAATCTGCATTAGGATTTAGTTTGAGAATTCTTCTGCTGCTCCTTGGCAGGAAGGGGAGTTGCCAAAAGCTGTTGTCTATCTAGAACTTGCTAGCCGTGCAGGGGAGACTGGTGCCTCTCATGTGAAAGATGTCATTGTGCAACAACTATCAGTTAATTCACGTGATCGTGCTATGCGTCTTGCTGAAAATTGGCGTGCATTGCCTTCATCGCGCTGACCAGAATTTATGGACGACTTTTTGTAAAATCCCCCTCCCCTGTCTCCGATTTGCTCCCTTCTGCGGAGGAGCTATGCCTCATTGTTCACACTTGGTCATTTGAGGTAAATCATGTAAGCAGTAAGTTACAACTCAAATACTAGTGCATGTTCTTTCATAAAATGTGCCTCAACTCCTCAAGTGATATAAGAGGCTGTATTATATAAACCCTTTGGCCTTTCCTTCTTAAATCTAATAACTTTTTACCATTGCTTGAAAGTGGATCTCACAAGCTTAACTTTAAATTCAAATGTTCATGGTAATGCAGCAACTATTCTTTCAGATTAATATTCTAATAGCAAACTATTCGTTCAGATTTTGTTTTTTAGATCAATGTTAATTGGATGGATCTTACGCAAAAATTTTTACAGTATATGTAGTAGTTTGCTCAGAAATTAGATTGGATTGCACAGCAACTCCCCAAAAAAAAAAAAAAAAAAAAATAGCAACTTTTGATAACATTTCTGATTATTATAGGTTAAAGTTATTTTTTAATCAACAAAAACCTAAAATTGCAATTTATTAAAAATAAAAATATTAAAAAAAAAAATTAAAAAAAGACCCTAAAATTGCGACACTCATTAGGCTGCAAAAACAGTAGAGGGCCTCCTTTTGTGAACTAAAACCATTTTGAATACTGTTGGATAGATAATTAGATATACAAAATCAGATTATGCAGAATATAGGATAAAAACTAGTTAATTTTGTCACAAATGTTTATTTTTTGTCTGTTAATGTCACTAAAGACCTAAGTATCCCTGGGCTAATCTTGTCGGCAATAGCACCCTTGTCTGAGATTATTAGACACTTCTCTTTGACAAGAGTCTGCAGCTCATTCATTTCAGAGTCGAGCCTTTCTTGATCTGCAACAACAATAACAAAATAATCAAATTAGACATTACTCCATCAACAATGTCCTAGTTTATCTTTCAAATAGCATTACAGCTTAGCTGCTGTAAAATAAAAACAATTGGTGTGGTAGAATTATATAGTGACTTACTTTGAGGCATTAAAAGTTCCTTATATTCTATAAGGTTCCACATTCACCCTCAAAATAAAAGTCACTCCACCCCAGTTTTATGATATATAATTGTAAATTGTAAGTCTGTTTCAGCAAGGGTTGACACTAAAACCTAATAGCATAAACATGTTATAAGCTTATAACATGTTGATTATAATAATATAGTGGTCTCTTGTATGTTGTTAACTTCTTTTGAAGTACAAGAGTACCATAGACGACAAAAGTAAATCCTTATTTTCACATAGCACATGATGAAAGAAATTTTCTAAAACATATGATATAAAATAGGTCAGCGAGTCTCTGTCGAATTTCCCAACTTGTATTGAGCCATTACTAGATGAATTCACCAAGAGTAAGGCCAAATTCAAAGCTATGTTTCTCAAAACTTTTCAATCCACCTTAAGAATTCAAGTCAGATCCTAAGCATTCAGACATGGATATGGACACTTCATTGAGTTCATTCTCTGTCAAATTTCTCTATTAGCTCTAGTTGGCCTAGAAGTGCATTTGTAAAACTAAGCATGACCCGAGCTTGGCTTGGCAAGGTTATATAGGAGATCAGGGCCTAAGTATACAATTGGAAGCATTTTTACTGAGCTATTAGGGCAAGGGCAAAGAATGTGGTGGAGTAAGATGGTATGGTGCAGATTATCAATGCCCGAACATAGATTCAGCCTTTGGTTGCCTATGCTAGAACTTTCGTAATCTGTGAGGAGGTGAAGAGATAGAGAGACATAAATACTTTTTTTTATTTTTTATTTATTGTGATCATAATAAGTAATGCATTCAGAACATTAAAGGAAGCTAGTGATCAGATCTAATACTACTGATTATCATGTCTTGTCTGGCACTTGGTTTTGTACCTGTGTCAGACACAAGTGCCTGAATCTAAGTAGCATAGATAAATAACTAGCCCAGAAAATTTCCCAGGCAACTCAAGACTTCAGGGTTGCAAATGATTAGCAAGCTTTCAGTTGATAAGATTCTAGAGTTCACAGTCAGCCATTTTATGCAAATTAGTGCAAGAGTTCAAGGATTTATACTAGACAGCTACGAGTTAATATTATCCCAACCTAACCTTATCAGATAGATTTCACTTAGTCACTTTAACATGTAAACAGAACAAGAAGACTAATAATGTCAATAGAAGAGAATGCAATAACACACCTTCCTCTAATATGGTATGAGCAGCATGAAATGGAACCTGAGCAAAGACATCTGTTCCAGGGAACATCATCCACATATTTTCAGTCGCATCATGATTTCCACAGGTTGGACAAACTTCTTGAACTAATGTCTTGGAACCATGCCCTCCAATCTCCTTCATAATAGACTCAAATGGAGAAGGAACACTAGTTTTTGTTGTACGTGCCTTCTTCCTAAGTGCTGTTAATGCCTCCCTGTTCCCATTCCTTAACCTGTCATTTTCCACAACCTACATCTTCACAATGAGAAAACAAACTCCTTTTTCTTGGGGATGGGGGTTGAGGTATTATGTAACTAGCTTTACTCTAATAAATTTCATAAAGTGGTGCACATTCCAACTGGAACAACTCTTATGGGCACCTAGCACACTACTAACTAATCAAGCTGAAATTTTGGATTGCAAAAGTAAGTAGCACAAGTTTTTACAAAAAAGTGTAAAAATCAAACAAATATTTCAGATGTAACATCTGTTTTAATCAAGAAACAACTTTTAATACCATTTCAAGATTTACCACTTCAACAAAATTACACGAACAGGCATTCTATCATGTCAAAAAACATAAAATAAAGTAGGGGTTAAAAAAATAATCCAATGGTCATGCACAGGGACTACTACTCTGTACTAAATAAGTATCTTGAAAATCAAGACGGTACAGCATTACCACCAACACATTACCCCAATGCTTCCAAAGGGTCCACAATTTCACCTTTGTGTGTGTGTGTGTGTTGGGGGGGGGTAGGGTTGATCTCAGATGCAGCCTAATAATTAAGATGACAGATTTTTCTACTTTCCAATTGACCCTATATCCAATATGAAAATCAAATATCCATGTAAACATTGACAACGATATTTCCTAATAACATGACCATCAAACTTAAGCATCCTAGTCAGTTAAGTAACCTGGACAGAACAAATGCGAAAAGATAACACATGGAGTCGGGTAAAGTACTACCTTAAACACAGACAACAGACCATGCTTTTTCACAAATCAGCTTGGTCATTCATAAACCCATTGTTATCATCAAACAAACCTGACAGTGTGAGCTCAACAATACTCCAAAACAAATCAGCTATCTGAAGATGATCTCAAACAACCACAATCACACTCCATAAAAGACTAATGGTAACAAGGCTTCAGATACAAGATCAATTTGTAAAAGACCACAAACATGGCGTAATCATAATGCAAACACAATGAATGATGCACTTGTTGCAGTAAAAAGCACCCCCATTAATTACAGATCACAATAATAAAGTAGTGAACTCATCACCATTAAACTTTGTCCAAATTACCCTCATAACAAATTCCATCAATATAAAATAGAAAGCGACAACATAACAAGGCATTAAAACATGGATGAACCATAAATTATCACATTCGCGCCTTACAACTAGCACAAAAACATTGACAATACAATCAAACAGCAAGAATGCTAAAAATAAATTATATGACCAGGCATATAAAGCTTAAAACTAACAAATGGAATAGAAAAACAAGGCTTAGACATAATACTGACCTGAAGCCGTGCCAAAATCAGATGTTCAGCTTCAATCTCAAGCTCAGTGAGTTGTTGCTGGACTTGTGTTACATTTTCATTCATATTCTTTCTATTTCTTCAAAGAGCAACCTAAAAAAATTCAAATATAAGAAAAGAAATTTAGTATAGCATAAAATAAAGATTAATAAATGTGGGATACAAAATTACTGGCCCCAAAAGGCCAAAACAGTGGTAAATCTCAGGATTTGGGGAATGGGGGTATGAACTCAATTAAAAATATTACTTGTATAATTATTCAATGAAGAAAAAAAAAGTTCAATATTAAAAAAAATAAAAAATTACATAAATCGTATTACATTACATATAACTAAGAGAGAAAGTACTCAAGTTTCAAATAAAATTTTACAATTGCACTCGACGAGTTTTCACAATTTGGAATCGGTTAATTACATCGTCATCATCAGCATTAACTTGCAAAAACAAGTCCCTATCAATAAATATAACTAAACAACCATTCAAAAACTGGTCCATCATGTTATTCCGCAATTTATTTTTCAAAATTGTCATCGAGGGAAAAAAAAGAAAACTCTTTCCACACTTGCAGTTGCAACCGGAAGAATCACGGCTAGTTTTTAAAAGCAGGTAAAATAGTTTATATAAATTGTGTTTCTCGGTTTAAACTAACATCACGGATAGTTCCCCCAAGATCTTTGTAACTTCCAAAAGTATTCTAAACTCCAATTTATCATCTTCCAATTCTAGCATATAAAATCAAAACCCATAACTAGTCTAAATCTAATAGCCATTTCATCTTACAATTCTACTGTCATTTCATCGAACAGGTGGTGGGCATCAATCCAAATAGGAAAAAGCAAGGAGTTTTTCGATTAGCAATTAGCATAGCAATGCCCAGAACTTATTTCTTCTTGATTAAACATTAAATTTGAAACTATATGAACCGATTTTCTGAGTATATGAAGTTGCATAATAACAAATGCAAAGTAATTAATAATAAACAAATTAGCGAAAAATTGAAAGAAAGCAAAAATAAATAACACCAAATATGAATTAGGGGCAAGAATTAGAAGAAAATAGGGGTAAAATATATGAATTAGAGAGAAAAAGAGTACCTGAGAAGTTGAGAAATATGAGAGTTGAGTGCTTTCTCTGTCAATGGAGGTTGATTGTTGACGGAGGCAGCTGAACGGTGTATCAGGCTTCGTGTTGTGACTAGGGGTGGCAATTCGGGTCAGATTTCGGGTCGATTTCGGGTTATGCTTAGAAACTATTAAAAATAGTGTAAAACTTAATATTATTACGAAATATGAAATTTGGGTCAAATCGGGTCGAATTCGGGTTGTTCAGGTTCGGTTCAGGTCGGGTTCGGGTCTCTCTCAGTAACTTCGGATCGGGTTCGGGTCGGGTTTTCGTGTCGGGTCAGGGTTTGCCAGCCCTAGTTGTGACTTCGGGCTTGTTATTTGCGATTATGTGGTACTCCCTCGGTTTTATTTGCTAGTCCCGACTCAATTTACTTGCAAAACATATTACGAATATGGCAAACGTTAATGGCCTATTCTGATTCATTGAAATGAACTGATTGGAGTTTAACTGAACTAATTAGAGTTTAAATGAGGTGAATTGAACTAAATTGAGCTTAACTAAATTGTTTACGAGAGAAGGAAATTAAGAACTGAACTGAATTGAATTGAATTGATTGGAGATGAAAAAAAAATGAAATTAAGTGAACTAAACTGAAACTAAGCTGAAGAGAACGGTACCTAAGTCATAAAAAAAAAAAGCCCGGGGCTTTGGGTAAGATAATTAAAACTTAAATAATTAACTTGAAATAAACATTAATTACATCGACACATGATTTTGGTATGTATTTCCAAATTAATACCATTTATACACTATTTTAAGGAATTATCCAAGCAGGGGCGAATTTAGGGGGGTTCATTGAACCCACAAATTTTTTGAAAATTACGTAGTATAAGTTTTAATTAATATTTTTTTTGTTAATAAAATCTGAAAAATGGATATATACATTTGATGTACATAAATGAGACTTGGAAAATGGCGGAGCATAGTGGTTTTGGCTTGACACACTAACTGCACTTTGTTAAGATTAGATTTTATACTCACGAGTTAGGGTCTGTTCACATTTACTGAACTAAGTTGAATTGAATTGAGATAAAATGAATATTTTATGAGAGAGGAAAATTAGGAGCTGAGCTGAACTGAACTAATTAGAGTTGAACTGAACTGAACTAATTAGAGCTAAACTGAACTGAAATTAAGTAAATGTGAACAGACCCTTAGTTCGTAATTTTTTTAGAAGAAAAATTGGATTTAGCTTTAGAAGATTTAAAATTTTGCCTTGTAATGGTTTTAAATAACGATTTATTGTGCTTTGGTATTTTGGTTGTTATTGCTTCTTAATTTATTTGACTGTGCTAAGACTTTGTTGTTTCTAACTTTCCAAACAATCAATTTCGTACACTTAACTTCAATTAGAAACTTGATTTTGCTTAGTTATTTTGATTTTATTAAATTCAAAATTTAATATGTATTAGAAGACGTTGAAATGAATAGAACACTGTCCTATTCATTAACTTATAACTTATTAGGCTTGTATTACGATTGTTGTAATAAAAGTGAATAAAAGTTATGAATTTGCCAACTCTACACTCCAAAAATCTAATGTATGGTTGGTGCATCCGGGTGCACCATGCGCATGGTGCACCCGGAAAGAACATTAGGTATATTTAAAAGAACATGGGCGAAAAAAAGAACATTATAGATATTTATAAAGAACGTGAGCATAACATGTTCTTTAAATTTAATTAATATGTTCTTTGAGTTTGAACTATATGTTCTTTATATTATACAATATGTTCTTTAATGTATGTACGTACATTAAAAAAAAAAAAAAAAAATCAATCTCCCGAGTAACTAGAAAAAAGAACATGTTCTTTACTGTATTATCATGTTCTTTTTATAAAGACTTTATGTTATTTGGTTAGAGGTAATCAAACTTAGATCGACCCGGCTTGATTTTGGACGGGTTTTGGGCAAAAAATTTTCACCCCCAAATTCGGTCAGACCCGGCCCGTAAATTTAAATTTTTGGGCGGGTTTGGGATTGCGTTATTATGCATTTTAGTTGATTTTTTATACTCAACAAGAAAAGCCCGCACGGCCGGACCATTTTGGGCACAAAAACTTTAGCCCAAAACTTGGCCCGACTCGAGAAGTGAGTTGATTTTTTAACCTTGGCCCGGTCCGCCCAATGATCACCTATATCTTTGTCAAACACGAACATGTTCTTTTTTGTCAAATATAATGTTCTTTTTCAAACACGTTTAACCACCCAAATAACCATGAAAAATAACATGTTCTTTTTGTAAAGACTTTATTTTCTTTGTAATGTCATGTTCTTGTCAAACACAAACATGTTCTTTTGTCAAACACAGGTATGTTCTTTTTCAAAGACTAGCATGTTCTTTTTTTTTTGCCCATGTTCTTTAAAATATGTCTAATGTTCTTTCCGAGTGCACTATACTATTTTCACCAAAAATCATCCTAGAAAACAACAAATGTAAAACTATTGGTATACAAACTTGATATTTCCTTTGATCATGTGCTGAGTTGTTCACTGATTTTGTAGCAATTGCAATTTGCAACCGGGCTACTCCAAGTTGACAGTGGTCCATGAGGCTTGTTTTGTTCTTCAAGCATACATGTCACTACCTTCCCAAAGTAAAGGCCTTTATTATAGAGCAAAAATACAAATTGGAAGCTAGAAACACACTGTCTGAATCCATGATATTTTGTTATGTTGCTGCCTGTTTGCTAGTTAGGCTGTCAACTCATTATTACAAAACTATTTTTCCAGAATGTCTATTTACATTACACGAAAAAGTCCTTTTTTTTATATCTAAACACGCATCGAAGTTTGTCTAAGAGGATGAGCATCTCCATGGTAGAGACCAAGATGGTACATAGCCTTGACAATCAATTCTCTCAACTGAGGATACTGAGCAGTAAGATTTCGATCAGTACCCTCTAGGGCGGTCAGAAGCCTAGCTCGTTCTAATGCCTCGCTGTTGCCAGCGTTTATAGCAAGGTGACAAAGGAGAACCAATCCATTTACTTGAGCCCTCTCGCTTTCCCTAAGCAATCTCAACAAAGGAACTACCCCATCAAACTCGATGATCGCCTTAGAATGTTCATGACACAAGAAATTCTCCGGATCAACAAACTTTGCTAGAGCAACAGCAGCCTCAGTACCAACCTCATGATTATTCCTGCTAAGCTGCTCAACCAAAGGCCCGATTACTCGAGTCTCTTTAGCAGAGAATGTCCTAGACAGACACCCAATCGATTTTATAGCAGCAATTTGCAAAACAGGATCACTAGACTCTTTGATCACCCTCAAAAGCTGCACCACCACTGCCTTACCAGCAGGGGAGCTCGTCTTGAAAGCCGACCTGCGAAGGTCAGCATTCGACTCAGCAGCCAATGTGATCTCCATTACAGCCATCACACAATTCTTCCTCAACTCCCCAGTTTCCCTCTCAATCAACTTAGCCAAACTAAGCAACCCTTTTGTCTCAGTAATCCTATGACTGTTTATAACACTATCCTTAGAAAGCATCCAAAGTGCCTTAGCACAGCTAATCTTAAGCTCCATCTTAACCTCAGCACTCTCATTCCCTCTTCCCTTCCTAGTCTGCCCTCCTTTACTAACCCCAACATCCGAATACAACGATGAAAACGACGAATAACTCGAATTCAGCTTCGGTTTCCATGACTCTCCTCCTAGCCTCTCCTTCTCCCTATTAATCTGAACAATAGAGTGAATACTATGATGATTCTTCTTCATTAATTCGGGTTCGTCTTCCAACATCTCGAACGAAAGCAATGACACCAAGGGACGAATCACATTCTCCCTCCCAAACTCCTCCCTAGCAACACCACCATCAAATTCAGCCATCCTTGCAACCAATTCCGCCATCTTAACCTGAACTCTCATAGGAGAATCCCCCAAAACTTGAACAATCAAAGGAACACCCAAACAATCTACAATAACCCTAACTCTATCTCCATCATTAGCAACATTATACAACGCTGTTGCCGCTGTAATCTGAGCTTCGGCGGAGTTCATTTCCTTCAATAATCTCAACAATGGCGGAACCCCACCTTCTTCAACAATTATCTTCTTGTTACGATCATTGTCTCGGGCCAAAAACCCGATCTCATGACCCGCCTCGATTCGGGCGGGTAGAGAAGAACCCATTTGAACAGTCGCGGTGTAAGACCAAACCCACGCCAAAATCGGGTCGTTGCTTGCGATTGGTGGAAGAGACAAAACGACGTCGTCGTTATTGACGTTATCGTCGTTTGCGTCGACATGGAAGACGGAAATAAGCCAGCGTAAGTCGGCGGCGGAGTTGTCGAGGAGAGAGAGAAGCTTCCGGAAATCAGCGGCGGTGATGAGTTTGACGAGGCGGTGGAAGAAGGTGCTACGACGGCGGCATTTGCGGACGAGGGTGTGGGTCCGATGAAGGGTTCGAGAAACTTCGGCGGAGATGCGACGGAGAGGGCGGTCGTAGATTGCGGAGGAGTTGGCGGTGGTGAAGCGGACGAGTGAGCGGAGCATGTGGGCGAGACGGTCGACGTATTTAGCGAGTTCACAGCAGTCGTGTATGAAGGAGGTTGACTCGTTGGCTAACTCGCGAACTCGTTCAGCGAGTACAATTGGTTCAGAGAGTTGTTCTTCGAGGGGTTTTTCGTCGTCGATTAGCGTCGCCGGGATTACAGTCGCCGGCGTCGGAAGTTTCGTCATTTTATGGGGAAAGAAATTAAAAGCGTCGGAAATTGAGGAAGATTTTTTTGAATTATTATTTTTTATTTTTTTTATTTTGAGGGAAAAGGAAATGAAAGGGAAGATTTATTTTGTGAGAGTCAATTTATGAGTCTTCGGATGTCAGTTTCAATATTTTGGTACTCCTTTTGTTTTCTGCTTCTGTTTTTTGGTTTTTTGATTTTGGATTATTTATTGATTGTGATGATTTTTGTTATTAAATGAGCTAATTGAGAGAGAATTAGAGAAAAAAAAATATAAGTAGGATTAATTATTTTAAGAGTAGTATTTATATGTTACTTCGTATTAAAATGGATTAAGCTAACTATAATATATTCATATTTCATACCATCTCACCTAACTGTTTAATCCAAGATTAATACTCCTATAGTCCAATTACTCATAACTGCCACTACCACCAATCCACCATAGTTTACTCAGGGTTGATGGTCTTAACACGCATTGTAGCTTTACATGCATTACGACAAAATTAAAATATAGTAGTACTTCCTTTATTTCATTACTATTTATTTTAATATTATATTTAAATATCAACTCTTTAACTCGTGCGATGTACGGATTATTTACATTTAAAAAATACGTTTTTGTTTATTATATGTTAATCTTATTCAACATACAAGTATATAAAAATCGAAAGGGAGAGGAATCGGTGAACTTTGATTGCTTTCATAATGTTTATATTGAATTAACTTTAAGACTACTTATTTTAATATACTACCTTCGTTTATTTCAAAGTTGTCCATAACATGATTTCCTAAGTGTTTTGTAAAATTAGATAAAAAAATAAATAAATAAAAAATAAACAAATTAAAGGGAAGTGTGACATGTGGTGATATTGGTTTGACTAGATATAGATATAGATATCTTCAACTACGCATTATACAGTAGCAATTTTAAAATTTTTGATCATCAAAATCGATACATTAATAATAATCCATCTAATATGATTTCATATAAATATATTTTTTCTTATTTATATCAAAATTGTTTATAAGGATTTTTTTTTTTTTCGTCTAAGTAACACATTGGCAATCAATAAACCTTTAATCAAATAAATTTCATTTCAAACTCATTAGCTCAATAGATTTATGAATATCGTGGCAGGGAATTAAGTACTTCGTATAAAATATGCAAGGGTTGTTAAAACTTACGAGTACTATTAAAATACGAAGTAGCAATAGCCTAGTAGGAGTATTTTCAGGTGTCACATACTCACATTCACATCTATTTATTGCTTAATTAAAGTAAGTCCACTCCGTATTTGCTAAACTAAACTAAAAAAAATCGAAGTGATAAAATAATGAAGCTAACCACATTCACGGATCAGAATGTCTGTTAAACTTTTTATTGCTTCCCCAAAAATTTTATACAATATCAATGCTTCCTAAATTCCTAGTTGCATGAGTATTACCGTATTAGGGGACATACATTGTCTTTAATAGATGAATTCTCTCTTTTAAAATGGACTAATGTTCCATAATACTGTATTCTTCTCCGTCCTATATACTCTAGTCTTTTCTAATAAAAATACTCCATATAACAAAAAACAAATCGCGCAGTAGATTGCATAAGCCATTTGATATTGATAAATCTAAATACGTAATAACTCTAGTTTGTTTGTGAGAAGGGTTTTCAATATTTATTTCTTTTTACCTTTTCAAAAAAAATTAAGAAAAAACTTAGTTATGGTTATTACTGCATTGTGGACTTTGTGGTACATAAAAAATTTTATAAAATAATGTTACACTCATACATTTATACATAGTACAGAATACATATAGTAAAGTAACTAAACAATACAGTACATATATAGGTGAAGTAAACAAGACGATAATTTATTTATTTTTTTTTATAAGAAAGACGTCAATATAATTAGCTCTTAATAAACCCAATAATTCAAACCAATACGGAAATGACAATTTTGATTGTAAAAAACTAAAAACCAAGAAATAATGACTTTTATCCACCAAGAATTTACTCCGTATCAAATGGCAGAAAATTGAGAAGGTTCAACTTGTGATAATGAGTCGCAAATTTGAGACTGAAGTTTTGTTTTTCTCTCTCTGTCTCACGAAATCATGAGACCAACTACTTCTAGCGAGTAGTGAGCCAACTAAATTCCCCATAATTGAGGTTCCATGGTAAATGTTTAGTACTTCCTCCGTTCTTTTTTTATCGCATCACTTTGACTTTTACACTATTCACATAATTTTCTTTGACTATCTTTTGTGATTTATTCGTAAAGAAAAACATAGTCATGTGGGATCTAATTAGATTCATCTCGAAATCTACTTTCCAAATATTAATTTTTTATAATTTTTACAAAGGTATAATTAATGATATTAATAGCTAAAGTAATGCATTGGCAAGCGTGAAATCTCCTATGATGCAATAAAAAAAAACGGAGGAAGTATATTGAAATAAAATTTAGTAAAAATTAGAAAATAAAACTACAAATTTATCAAAAATTGGATTATAACATCACAAAATTTACAACTTTTATTATAACACCATATTAAAACCAAAAACATGAATTTCACCACCACTTAACATAAATCATCCAAAAAAATCCGTTAGTGGGCCTTAGAACGGACACGTATCACTATTCTATTAGGGTGTGTTCTATTCACCTGATTTTTACTTTTCTGAACTTATCTGATCTTATTTGAACTTATTAGAACTTATTTTAGTTATAAAATAAACTTGGGTAGCCCTGGTTAACCCTTATCACAACTTATCTGAACTTATATGAACTTATTAACCCTTATTTGAAATTATCTGAATTTATTAACCCTAAAATAAGTGAAAATAAGGTGAACAGAACAGGACCTTATTGGATTAAAAAAATTAAAAGAAAAAGAAAAAATAAACTTTAAACCCTAACCCAACCACCACCCTCACCTCTGGCAGCTCTACAACCTATTGCCGACAAGCCCACCTAGTCACCACCCTCACCAAAACCTCCACCTTCACCTTCGAAATCACCACCAGCCCCCGTCAAACCTAATCGCCCACCAGCCCCACCCTCTACAAGTCCACATCCCCTCGTAATTAAAACCCTAGCTCCGACTACAACCATAAAAAGGGTTGTCAGAGCGCGCGGTTAGAGAGAGAACGAGAAGAGGGTGCGTTATGGTTTTTGCAATTGGGAATCAGAGAAGATATGGTGGGTTGCAATTAATGGTTATGGTGTGATTCGCGATGAGGCTATGGTGGGTTGGTTTGGTTGGTGGGCGAAAGGGTTTGTCGGAAGTTAGCTGGCGGTTAAGAGGTTGTAGTAGGTTTCGACTGGTGGGCAAAGGGGTTTATCTAGAGATGGCAACGGGTCAGATCTGGACCGGGTCCGGATGGACCCGGATCCAGATCCGTTTTGTATATAGGATCCAGATCCGACCCGGATCCGTCGGGTTTAGAAAATGAGGACCCGGATCCGTCGGGTCTAGAAAATGAAGATCCGAATCCAGATCCGTTGGGTCCAACGGATCCGGGTCCAAAACGGGTCCAATATATTTTGCCTAATTTTTTGCAATAAATGTAATGTTCGGGTCAAAAAAATTATTTCAAACTTACGTTGTTGGTTATTAAGTTCAACCCCAATTTAACCAACTTATACACTCATATTTTGAATTAAAATTATAAACAACAAAAAAATACGATGTTACATATGAGCTAGTGAAAAAACAACGATGATGTATATAATATGAGCATCCAAAATTCATCTCTTAAAAGGGTTAATCTTTATCATGACTAACACTATCAACATTTTTAATTAAGAAACAAACAATTTTAGTTTTTTTTAATAGGAAAAATAAAAAAAATGGGTCCACGGATTTGGATCCGGGTCTAGGGCCCAGACCCAGATCCAGATCCGTTTTTGTCAGCAGGACCCAGATCCGTCGGGTCCAAAATTTAAAGAACCAAATCCGTGAAAACGGATCTGGATCGGGTCCAGATCCATTGCCACCCTTAGGTTTATCGGAGGTTAGGTGGTGGTTTTGGGGTTATATTGGGTTCAGCTGGTTAGCAATGGGGTTTAAGTGGTGGGTTCGACTGAGCTATGAGGGTTAGGTGGCGGTCCCCAACGGCTGGGAGCAGGTTGCCGGTAGTGGGGTTTAGGCCGCCGGTGGTGGGCTGGTGGTAAGGTTAGATTTAGGGTTTTTCTTTTTTTTAAAAAAAAAATAAAATTGTATTTAATTTAATTTTTTTTTTAAAACCAATGTCATATTGACAAGTGGCCATAGTGGATCCCATTAACAGATTCCCTCTAAAAAATTGTTAGTTGGTGGCCTGGTGCATGAAATCCAGTTTTTGGGATTTTTTTATGCATATGGTGTTATAATAAAAATTTTAGATTTTGTGGTATAAATATATAATCCATTTTTTTACAAAATTTGTGATGTTATTTTCTAATTTTTTTTCTAAAATTTAAGAGGTCTAACAACCAAACACCACCCCTTTTTAAATGCAAGTTGAGTTTGAAGATTATTTTATAAATGAATTCAACATTGGCATGCTACCCAATTACCCATGTCCTTGTTTTAAGTATAATTGACGATAGTAGTAAACTCCTGAATTTGATTAGTTTCAAGTCTTTCAACTATATTTTGTTTGATAACCTTGTAGCTAGGTTATGTTCAAAGCATCAATAAACTATTGATTGGTAACATTATAGATATCACTGGAGAACAAAATCAAAATGCAATGATAATTTATCTACGAAGTATTTGTTTTCTTTTGAATAGTCACCAACTATGAATCAATTCAATGATTCATATTATTTATACCTCATAATTATTATTACGGAGTATAAGCTATTTCTTCTAAGTGATATGTGACAAAAAAAAAATAAAAAAATAAAAAAAAATAACAAAAATATTATTTAGTTTATATGCACAAATTCTTGCAATACTTTCAAATTGTCAAATTGTTATTGGCTAATCTGCTTAGACTTTGAATGTATAACATGTATGGTATGTACCCTTAAATTTTTATTTGTACAATCATTAATAAAATCCTTTAAATTTTAATTAGTTGTTTGAATGATAATTCAAAATGCATTATGGTACAATTCATACGATTTAACAACTACAGACATTACAATATATTATAGCCAAGGGAGTATATGGATTAATATATTGTCAAAATGCTAAAAAAACTAAAAACTGGATATGGAAAATGAGTTGATTAAGTAGGTGTAAGCCAATATCCAATCATTTAAATATTTAATTAGGTAGTGGATATTTGTCCATCCAGAGCCACATGCCGCCTCTGAACCCTGTAATGAAGACAATCTAGTTAAGAGCTTGTCTTTTATTGAAAAAATTTAATTATTAAAATTAAAATTAAAATTAAAATTAAAATTAAAATTAAAATTAAAATCTAATATATATCTAATATCATATCATATAACTAATA